TTTGTTGAGAACAGTGACTGTGACCATATCTTCCTATCGGATAACACCGATATCATTGATCACTAAGACGACCACTATACTGCATATCAATGATGGTGAATTCGTCTCAGAACTTCGCCAAGACAACCCCTCAGATATGTTCGGTGTGCTTACGATCAATACGAATGTAATACCTGTTATTGGTTCGGTTAACTCGAATAGGCCTGTTTTCAGATTTTGTACCACGAACCTCTGGTCTCGTAAAGGAAAAGCCATAACAAAACACAATGCCAAGTACCGTATATATCCCAACTTATGGAGATTTTCAAAAGCTTTCCCATGGCTTTGGCTGTCGCAAAAAAACCCTGTACGATGGTGACAGAAAGCTATTACGGAATATTTTCAACAGATACTTTTGAAGGAAAATCTTTCTAGAGGTCATTGCGTAGCGAACGATCTCATAGCATAATCACCCCTATTAGCTGTAATCACATAGACTTCAACGGGCAAGTGTAGTGCCTCTATTTGTTTTTGTACTGAGCCCGAACATCCAGTTAATCCTGTTTACTTGACGAACCTGTAATAAGTATAAATTCATCCCATTTTTAGAATAGAGTCTTCACACAACATAGCTTTCCTGAGCTCTGCTAAAGAAATTTCTCTATCCACAGACAGTTTTTCTAGTTCTCCCGAATCATACATTAACATTATGTACTGCAGGGAACCTCGAACCTCTCATCTACTTTTCCGCGGCTTTTATTGAGGAGAAGTTTAACCGAACAAATGTGCATAGCAGAGTCTTCATGCATGCAACAGACACACTCTCAAGCTTATGCAAGATCTGGCCAAGTTTATCCGAAAGTCGTGCTTTTTTTTCGCGCTTAGTTGATCACACTCACATGAAAAAAGCACAACTCTTCACCCATTTAGAGTGGAAAAACTGGTAGCAAACTTGATCAAGGTGGCAGAAACACTGATCTTATACATTAGGAGGCAACTGTATGTCATTGCATAGATCAAATATACATTCCCTCACCTCTAGGACTACGAACGGAGTCGGATGCAGAGCGCTTCTCTAATGATTGAACAACGTCCAACATTTTGTCTTCATCTGCTTGAAGCGGGACAAGCAAGCTCGGAATATCTCATAGAAAAGGATCCGTTTAATGGATAAAGTGTATCTACAGGATTAAATTTTTGCCTTCAAAATCGTCTATGAAATCAAAGCCCTAAAACGTCAGATACGTCTTATTTGATATAGGTCTTTTTTCTTAATTTTATTTGAGCCGTCTTCACGTCTACTGTGCCGAACCTGGTGCTTCTCACGTCCAATTCGTTTTCCCGCATCCAGTTATCCACGAAGAAATTCCAACTTTTTACGTGTGGCCTCGGCTATGGTTTGAGGATTTCCATTTCACCCTGAATGCCTCAGAATGCTGGTCGAGCAATTCTCCCTGGAGTCCTGGGATTGCTGGGCTGGAGTGTTCCCAAGTGGATTGCAGAGAGTGATGTTTTTTCCAGACAGGTCTGGTAACGATTCTCCAGTCCCGAAGGGATGGGAGACTTGGTTGGCTCGGGGAGGATTTGGACTGGCACCTTGGTCGCGAGGACGGGCATCACTACCACTGTGCTATCCGCCCCCTATTTGGTGCAGTTGACAAAGAATAAAGCACTTAGCGCTGAAAAATCGCTGAGAAATGCGTCATGCACCGGCCTCATTAAGCATCATTAAAAGTGATTAAATGCATAGCTGGTCTATACAATGTCTTGCGGTGGCCTGCCGATGAAACAGGCCAGTGCTGTTATGTAGACCTCGTAATGATGGAAGGCTTGGTGAGGTGGGGAGCGAGACTAAACCAACGACTTTTGGTCTATTTCAGGGCAATATATTTGGTAGTAATTTACCATAGTTATCCTAAAAATATTTTACAAAATAAGTGCAAAGAAAGTCCAAACTAATGTAGACTAGGATTTGCACTCTCTTAAGCTAATATTTAAGAAGATACCCTTATTAACAACATCGACGAGGAAGATAATCAGAACAACAAAACCCTCCATGGCAGAGCTAAAAAAGCGGAGGTCTTGAAAGTCACCAAGATGCGCGTCTCCACAAAGTCGCACTACCTGCAAGCAAACTAGGGGAAGTCCACGCCTCCATAGCTTTGCAAAAAGACAATAAAAATCTTAAGGAGAAGAGAACAGTAGTATTGGTTGGAAATGCAGAAGTTAGAAGAGACATCGTCAACGCCTGATGAAATTTCGCTAATTCCAAGACCACGATAATCGTCTTCGGGTATTCATACGGAGTACTAATTGCATTCGGAAGTACAATGGAGTTCATGCACAAGTTATATCATGAACCGTTCGGTGATCACGTTGGCGTGCCTTCGTGTCAAGCCAGGTAGAACAGATGTCATCCCAACAGTTTTCTTTCTGAAGTTCCATCATTTATTCAGTGAAGAACCGTAGGGCCAAAATAATTGTTCGCGAACGTCTAAAGAACCCATCGCTAGCCCTCGTCATCACCATGCCTGAGTTTTTCACTAGATGCTTGTCGGAATGATTAGTTCGCAGTCAACTGAAAACCGGAAAAACAGCCATACTGTATATAAAGAGCCTACATGGCGTCTGCAGTTATCACCTAATACGTCCACTGTTTGTCACAGTGGACTCACCCCTGGACTTTCCTCCTGTCGTCTTCGATAGGAACTACAGAGCCTTGGACGTACAGCCCCTGTAGGCAAGCAGAATGGTTTGAAAAGTGGTCCAGCCCTATCGGTCATATCCAAATTTTAAAGAACACCAACTATGAGGTGCTGCTACTTTTCTGCTTTACTTTCAAAGACTTTAGAAAGACTTTCGATTCAGCAGGAATAGAAGACATTACGAAAGCTCCGCAAAAACAGGGCGTCTCTGCTCAACGCACAATTGTTGTTCATCAGCTCCGTAACTTTGAAAGAACAATTTATCGACATTGCAATATAATATCGCCAAAACCTTTTACCGCCAGCATCGGACGTGCTATGTTAATGCTCAAGTGGACAACACGTGGATGAAAATTAAAAGATGGCAACCACACGACCTTCCTTTCCCTAAATAAAAATAAATAGATAAGCAAAGCAAGTAAGTAAATAAAAAGCCGGTACAACTAATATCAACAGTCGATATCTGCTAGATCTGAAGAAAAATATTACAAAAGATTTTACAGTGGCGCCCTGCACTACATGTTGGATCGGTCGGTGGTCGGTGGGTCCCATCTCGTGCCCCGGGTTCACCAAGGTTTCCACCTCTTCTGGTTCGGCAAACTGATTAGGCATTGATCACTTGGTGAAGGAGTCATTCATTCCACTTCATTAAGGATCGTTCGAGGTGACTGAGTAACCAGCCTATACGATGACTCGCAGTGGGTCTACTCATGTATCGAGTCGATACTGTTATTCTCCCTGATAGGTCTGGTAGCAATTCGCCGACTTCTGAGAGATGGAAGGCTCGGTGAGCCTTGCGCCAGATTGACCCAATGTGTACTACAGGGCACCTCTCACCACTGCGTTACACACGCACGCCCTGATATGCTTTTGATTCTCAGCCCGACGGGGTATCTCCGGATGATCCAGCTATCTGAAACGAAGTCATGAAATGAATATGATGAACGACTTCACCGTACAACTGAGCAGAGCGAATCAGTGGCAGGGCTGCCTACATGAATGACATAGAAGGCATACTGAACAGGAGACGCAACGTTATGCTTCATGCTTAACTTCTTAATTCTACGATTCTTCCTGCGCCTAATCGAGGCCTCGAGAATCGCATTCGCAACGAACGTTATTGGTTTAAGATGGACACTTAGACGGTCCTGGTACAAGTGCAGATCCCAGCCCTTCTTTTATTCAAATTCATGGGTTGACAGGTTTGTTTCGTCGACTTAACTGCTACTTGATAATCTGTCGCCTTCCGTCCGAATAGAAGAGAGGTCTACCATCTTAAGACTAGAGCTATCACAGTACGAAAACGATCCATACGTCTAGGCCACCGAGCGATCCAGAACGATCGAGAGCGATTGGCACAAGGCCGAATGCCCGCATTGTCATTAGAGCAGATTTTCGCGATGTTCGTGCTTATCCTCATTGTGTGTGGATTTCTCACATTTCGTGAAGGGTGCTGGATGGTTTACGATATCCGTTGAGTATCTTTTACGATATCCCACCTACTCTGCCGCTATGATGCTCTATTGACTCATTACGTTGATATTAAGGTAAGAAAACGATTTACATGACGAGTTTATCTTTTACAGGTGCTTTTAATTTACTGCAACTTTCATGGATTTCAACAATCTCACCAACCGATCCATTTGGGTTTGTAATTGAGTGCTCTGTATGGTGTTTTAGATATGGTGTTTTGTGTATTTCTGCAGTATTTTCACAGAAAACGCGAAAGATATATGTCTCACTGAAAACTACTAGACCGCCTAGAACCTCCTAAATTCCTTCAGTGCTACACTTTTTTTCGCGAACGTACTGACGACAAGTCTCGCAAAATCCTGCCGTATTCAGTGCTTTGAAAAGAACAAGACGATTGAAACAGTAAGAAATCGGTCAAACATCATCGACATGTCTTTAGCATGGAAGATATCTTAACTTATTAGTACTTTACAAGTCTACATATAAGTATTTCGTAAGATGTTCGGGAATTTAGGAAGACGTGACAAGCTTAATAGAAGTAGAAAGAGATTTCAGAGAAAGAGAAGGAAGAAAGGAGAGAAGGAAAGAAGCAGCTACCATCCAGTTTTTCTAAAGTGTCCGAAAGAAGGGTTAGAAAACCTTTGCTAGGAGTTTGAGGCAATAAAAGTTGATGAAATTTTCACACAGAGAACACTTCCGGAGTTTCTTTGTTTGAAAATAACACGATAGCATTATTGATTTCCAGATTGTCGAGGTAGATCTTTGCGATACATCCTTTCCTTCTTTTACCCATCTCTTTTTTATTTTCATTCTTTTTCTCTGAAAGACCTGAATTAGTTTCAGATGTCGTCGAATCCGATTCTTATCGAAACATTGAAACCATCCAATAGTGAGTTACTGCCAATCGTCGAGTCAGCGTTAAAGAGCAATTTTAAGAATGTCACTGTCGAAGTGGGACCATGTCCAGGTAGATTTTATCATTGTCTGTTGGTATCTGAGGTTTCTTAACCCATATTGTTGTTTCTGGGTTTCTATTACTTTCTTAACAAAGCATCTCTGCAGAGTTTTTTGCTCTGGTGAAGTCGAATTCACCCAGTGGTTTACCGCCCAGTCGTGGCTGGGAGGTGTTCTTGGGTGTCGGGCTGCGATCTACAGTGGGGGTTTCATCCCCCCACCCTAGCAGGGTCTCTCAAGCTGACAAAGAGTCCGTCGCTTTCATCAAGAAGCCTAGCTAAGAGAAAACCAACACTTGGGTCTACCACTGTCCTGGTACTAAACGAAATGCATGGTGGCAAGTCTACCTCTGATCCATAAGAGCGACGACTGCCTGTGGTGGTGACGACCTGGGGCAGACTTTGGCTAGGCTGACCTCGGGGCTTGAAAAAACGACGATGGCTAAACCAGCGAAACCGAAAAAGTGGAAATTATGCTGTGGCCCTCACGGCCAGTGAAGATTGGCCATCCAAGTAGCCAAGTAGGTAAGTAGTGCTATTCTATGCATTAAGGCATGATTTCGGGCAATTTTGCGATATTCCTGAGAGCTTTTGTTTTTAAAAACAAATTGGGAGGGTTTGGTTGTGTTCGTGAACGGCAGTAACCTTCCGTATTGTTGTAGATCTGTCGGCTGAGCCTTTTTCAATGACTTCAAGTGGTTTTGGCCAAAAACTTGTAATTGCCGATGTTGGTGGACCTGGGAATCTGTTCCCAAAAATTCACAAGGAGAAGGAATTTGATCTGAAGGTAGAACAGCCACTTTGTATGTTTTCTTTTATTTGTTTTTGTGCTTCTTAAGAGCTCACCAACTTAGCAAAGTAACCTGAGAATATGTTAGGAGATCTGCAAGGTTTGTCAATCTCCATTCTCGTTTGTATTTGGTCCTGGAGCTGGACCGTGGAAAGTAGTAGGGAGGAACTGTGAAATGGTTGCGGACGCCAATCTTACTACGGCAAAGGTGATTTTATCGTTCATCTTCTGTCCATGTAACGTTTTTAGTACACGATTTTTTTAATTGGAATTAGCTTGTGTTAGACAATTCAACAATGCATGAAAACAAAAGAATAAAACTCTGGGCGTTGATCAATCGTTGAGGGACACGCCACGCATTCGACATAATTAAGCATCGTTTGAGGTGATTAAATGCATATCTGGTCTTCAGAATGACAGGCGGTCGCCTACCGATGTATTGAGCCAGTACTGCAATCTTCCCAGACAAGTATTAATCCGCCGACTCTGGTGCGTTGGAGGAACCACGCATGGTGAGCCTTTGCACGGGGATCGATCCCATGTGCATCACAGGGCATCTCCGACAACTGCGCCACGCGCGCCCTTTCAACAAAGCATAAGTAGGGAGAAACAGCAATAGGCTTTATACAGTGCTCACCCTCAAATTGTTCGAATCACTCAGGGACTCGAATATGCAGGGTCATCCTTATCAATCTTTTGATTAGTAAAATCACTAAATCCAATGTTTAGGTGGCAACGAAAATAGCTTCACTTCCTCCTGGCCATTCACCTCCCTACAAAATGGATGTTATAGATTCTCCGAAGTTCAATCTAATGGCAAATCTTGCAATGTCGGAACCTGGGTCTGGAGAAGTGGGTACGTTGATCCTTTAAACGTTCCATTCATAACTATTGTCCATATTACAATGTATCTGTTTTTGATTTGTATGTATATATGCTAATAGAGATTGGGCGCGTCTGGCGCAGTGGTTGGAGGCGCCACTTCGACACACACGTGGAACCGTTTTTCGCGCCCCTGGCTCACCAAGCCTTCCATCCCTCCGGGGTTAGAGAATTGGTGCCAGACTTCTCTGGGAGGATAGCAGCGCTGGCTCGACAGATCGGTAGCTCACTGCATGTCGTTGTAAAGGCCAGATATGCATCCAGTCACCTCCAAACGGTGTTTAATGAAGTCGAATGCATGGCGCATCCCTCAGAAATTGATCAACGCCGAGAGCTCTGTCCTTTATTCCGTATTTGCTGATACTAGCACTTGTACGTAGAATACTAGCTGAGAGATGGGCGAAGCGAAGGAACCGTATGGTGTAGCGGTGAGAGCGTTAGCCCCCGGAAAGGGTAATAGCGCGTATGTTCCCCACCCAAACAATTGCGGTCCAGAGCTTTGCAAACATCTCAGCGTCGTTATATGCTGATATTTCATTACATAATTCTTAATGCTTCTCGGTCCTTACTTTTTTCGCTTTGTCGTTTAGTACATTGTAAATGTTCGGTACGTATCGGAAAAGACAACTTTCCCGAAACCATACGGAAAGCGCTCGCTAAGCATTACGGCGAAAGGTATGCTTTGGAATTCTATCAAGCTGTTAAGCATTACCACATTTTATTTTTGATCACAGACTCAATGATAGGTGCGTATCTTTGGCTGGGATTTTCTTGCTTCGAGAAGGTGAAGCGAAATTGCACATTATGCCTGATTTTCCTGGTTGTCAGTTCAGTTCATCTGAAGAAGTTAGTTTAGTTTTTAAAATCATTCCTTAGCTTCAAGATAGATTGCTATTTTCGCGTGGAAGTTCTTCTCAGAAGGGATATCGTTTTCTCTAAAGACAGTGCTGTTCATAAAATAATGTCATTTATTTACATAATACTTGCATACTTGGACGTTTCGTCCTCACTGGTGGTGCGGGCCCCAGCATATTCCGCATTTTTTGGAGTTTCGCTAGTTTACCAATTGTGTTTCCCTCGAGTCACGAGGGCAGCCTGACCAAACTCTGTTCCAGGACGTCACCACCACAGACAGTCGCTGCTCTTGTGAATCAGAGGGAGATTTGCTACCATGCGACTAGTTTGATACCAGGACGCTGGTAGATCCTGGTATCGGTTTACTATTAGTTGGGTTTCCTGACGATGGAAACGCCGGACTTCTCAGCTTGTGGAGCCCGCCGTCGGAATAAATCCTCCAGCTGTACATCGCAGCTCGGCAGCCAAGAACATCTCCCAGCCACGATGGGGCGGTAAACCGTTGGGAGGTTTATGTACATAATATGAAACTAAAGGCTTGGAGGTCAAAGAGACGTCATTGTAAACCGAAGAGCAAAGTTCTTGTGGGCCTAATTCTGCAGATTTGAGATGACGAGTGGGAAAGGGAACTAGAGTTGACAAATCTGTTGTATTGACTAAACGTTCTTTAACATAATACCTAGATTCTTTCTTGATTCTTTCGTGATGGGTGCGGTGAAGCTTTCTTTAACTCCATATTTTTCGTAATAATGATAGCTTATAACGACTTTGAGCGTTTATGGCACAGTGGTCGAAGGCACCTTGCAATATACATGGGACCAATCCCAGCTCACCAGGCTCATCAAGCCCCCCATCCCACCAGAGTCGGCAAATTGGTATCAGATATATCTGGGAAGATAGCAGCACGGGATTGATACATCGGTAGGCCACCGCAAATCATTGTAATGGCCAGATATACATCCCGTCACTTTCAACGATGCTTAATGAAGTCGATTGATGGCACATTCTTCAGGGATCGATCAACGGTTAGAGCTTCATCCTTTATCCTTAATCGGGACCTTACTTTACTGCATTGAACTCACTGTTCATTAATGTATCTCGAGTTCACGTTCAGCTTTGTATACTGAAGGTAGCTGTTTCATAGAAAGGACAAGATTGGTTTATAACTAACGATCTTCACATGCAATTACATGGATGGGGAGACATGAGCAGAACTCGGAAGCTCTGTTGACTTCTCGCGATTACCTTTTCCAGGTGCTCTTGTGGTATCCATCGTGCCAATCGAAGCTGTTGCTTTGCATTTCTCTGGGCCAGTTTTTTATTCTATCTGTGCTATCAGCAATCGTCCATCGACGGAATGATCTGGAGCGACCTGCGCTTTGAAGTTTGCATTCTTGTGGTTGTTGTTCACGTCGTATTCAGCTATGAGAAAAGAATAAGCAGTGGGTAGAAGTTAGGTTATTTTGATGTCCCCAAATATTAATTTGCCATCAGATTGTACGTTTGTAACAATCTAGCTAGCATTTTGCGTTTTTTTCAACACATTTTGACCAATGTGAATTTGTTCCAATGCATACATAATCATGTGTAATTTGGAAGTAGTTTGCTGTTTGAAATTTAAACAATATCTTGACTTTTTCGTTCTCCTTCGAGGCTCATCTCTAGACCAGCGAACTTGCTAGATGAACGGAATTTCTTTCAACAGTATTATTGAGAGAAGTCCCTGAAGGCCTCATCAGAACTGTCGTGCTTGTGTCAAGACTTCAAATTTTTTGAATGGAACTCTCGTTTTTTGAATCTCGAAGTTTAAAAGAATTTGCTGCAAAAGTAGTGTTGCGAGTACCATATACATCTTCGAAGAGACAGTGACAGTTGTCGAGTTACTATTTTCTTCGCGATTAGGTTTGAAAAAAGCTTTGTCGAGGAAAATTCACTGGTGATTTGTCGTTTAGGTTGATAAATGGCTACAGTTCTTCACAATGAAGGCCCCTCTCGTGTGTGCATCTGTGTTTCATTCTTATGATCCAGGACACAAGCTTCGCATGGAACATACTCATTGCTATTCAAGTCATGGAGATGCTGGTTAGTGTTTCGTTTGTTTATATGTAATGACAGTGTTAACCTTTCATTTGCTGCCTACTACACTTTTTCACGGCGGGGTATGATGTGAAATATAACCGCAACGATGCTGAGATATTCGCAAAACTTGGACACTGAGCCAGATCCACTCACTATTACCTTTTTCGGGAGCTCGCGTATTATACGTTCCACCACTCGGGCCCTTGCTTTGAGTTTTTTGCTTTTAGCTGAGAGAAACGCAAAGCAAGGGAGTCAGTGGTGCAGTATGTAATACGCGAACCCTTGGAAAGGGTAATCGTGGTTCGTTCTGGCCCAGGGTCCAAGTCTTGCGAATATTTCAACATCGTTTTGCTTCAAAGTGTCAACCATTCGTATTAAATGCCAATGGTCAAAAAGAGTGCTGGATGTGGAACAGTACTCTTTAATAGGTCCCTTTAACCTATAACGCCTAGTATGCACAGTATAGTGTTCATGAGCGTTTGGACCGGGAGAGACGGTACGGACACTACAGTGTCCATTTTGGTCTAGTGCAGTTCAGATTTTCACTGCACTCTGCGTGTTCATGCGATAGCTAATTGAAAGCGGATCAAAATAATAATAGTACGACCAGAAAACCACCCTCTACACCTAGTCGTTTACAAAAGACTCTTCGAAAAAGTTTTTTGACCACAAGTGTGACTAAAAATTAGCTGTCGTTCCATTTTATTCTTTGTCGTCACTGTGTGGAATGTACAGATATAAAACACACCGAAATAGACTCAACTTGGATACTTTGATGATCCGTCTTCACTGGTTGTGCGGGCCCCGGCATAATTTTCACTTTCTCGGAGTTTTGCTGGTTTAGCCACTGTGGTTCTCTGTAGTACCGAAATCAGCGTACCCAGGGCCCTCACTGGAATAGGTAGTATCAGCTCTTGTGGATCAAAGGGAGATTTGCCACCATGTGACTTTGATCCTAGGACGGTGGTGGATCTCGTTGTTGGTTTACACTTGGCTGGGCTTCCTGATGGAAACGCCGGACTCCTTCTCAACTTGGGAGAACTTGCTGGAGGGATGAATCTCCCCGGTGTACATCGCAGCCCGACACCCAGGAACACCTCCAAGCCACGATGAAGACGTAAACTGTTGGGAAGGAAATGGGATCACGTTATGTGCAAAATACTCCCAAATGGTGACAGCAGTGCATTTGCATAGTGGGCTACACACATTCTTTAGTTAAACGCAACTCCACAACCTTTAATTGACCATTCGAAACCACATTATTATTGACGTTAATGGAGGAGCTCAACATTCCGATACATTCTCACTAGAATCATTTACAAATGCTCTGGAGAACGTTACTCAAAAACTGGAATGGGATATTATGGGACTGGAAATCGACGACCACCATCTTCTCTTCGTTGATGGCACCGTTTTTATTATCTTAAAAATTTGCTAGGTAAATGAAATGGGCGATTTGAATAAGGGCTAGAGGAAGGTCCACTTTCGATGAAATACCCATGAAACTGTATTCATGAAGAGTGGTGGTTTTGTTTCCCAAAAGCCGACTTACATCAAGTTTTCGCAAAAATAACCAATACTTTTCAGGATTATTGGACTAATCCGAGGTTAGTATAAAACGATCAATTCGGTTAACGTTTCGACCTCTTCGTCTTCTTCAGAACCGGATTAATGGTTCACAGATTTTTTTTCTTGTGATATGAGTTTTCATTATCGCATGCATCACTTGAATGGAAAAAACCACACTCGATGACGACCTTTTAATATAGGGCGAATATTTGTTGCTTCCATCCAGAATGATCTGCTTTTTAGCAGAAACCGATGTTGTAGTAGCCGATGTTTGATGAGTTGATAATGATTATTAGAGATGTTAGTACGTTATATGCCAGAGTATAACACCGAGTTCTGCATCCATTCCTGCCAAAAAGCAGATTATATTAAATGACCGCAATAGATCAGAATCCGTCCTACGTAAAAGTAGGGCACCCACCAGTAAGGTTTCCTCATTCGAGTGGTGCCCCACTTCAGCGAATTGGACTCGACGCGACAATGATGACTTCACATCGCGAGGATGAGCGACTGTGGAGAGTCGACTCTATTCAGTTCGGTGCTGAAGAAGACAAAAAGATAAAAGACGATAGCTGGATGAATCTTTTTATTATCAGCGTGTTAGCTTAATAATCTAGGAAGGTTTTGCTTTTTGCACCATTCCTGCTCAACGGAAAGTCTCTTATTGCTACAGGTTTGTGTACATGATTGAGGAATTGAGTATAATGGACGACTTAGTTGTTGAGCTGAGGATGGGAAGGTCGGAGGGTTGGAGACATAAAGTCGTTGAGGATTCACTGGAGAAGACAAAGAGAAACCTGTTCTACGCTTTTAACTCCGGGAATTTACGACGCTTAATGTACGCTTGGGACACCTGAATGGCAAGCAGAATGAGAAATTTTACGAAGTACTGATTTAAAAAACTAAATTTTGCCTGGTATAAGGCATTCAGTGGACATGGAAAACAGGAACAAGCATAGACATGAATGAAGAATTGTGTTGGAAGGAATGCAGCGTAGGCCTCTTCAGCACCTCATAAAGATGGCGCCGACTACTTGATATAGCCATAACTGCGCGTTCGTGTTTTTGCTCACCCGTCAGCAATTCATCCACGTGAAACGATTGTTACAAGACTTAGTGCATCAACCACTACGAGAATTTCGGGCACCACGCAGAAAAGCACCTGGGCGGTCGTTTTTGAAAATTATGAAACAAGGCATATAACATAATATCAAGTCCGGTTAACCAGTTCAGGCGTTCGAAGAATTTGTAGTTTTCGAGATTCAGACAAACATCGAAGGCAAAGTGTACGTGGATAGATCTTATGATATGGACATACGCCGACAGATAAACGAGAAGGGCACTGGACTGACTCGTAGTGTATACAAACATCTTCTTGAGCGACAACTCAAAAGATGAGTGTTTTTGAAAGAAAACCAATTCACAGTCTTGGTGTCAAAGTCGCATGGTGACAAATTTCCCTCATATGCACAAGGGCTGCGACTTCCTGTTGTGGTGAAAACCTGAGGCAGGCCATGGTCAGGTTGACCTCGGGATTCCAGGGAACCACAATGGCTTAGCCAGCAGACCTCCGAAAAGTGGAGATTATGCTGAGGCCCGCACAACCAGTGAGGACGGGCCGTTCAAGTATCAAGTAAGTTTTTGAAAGTGTTTTCGACTCATATCAATAAATCAAACAAGTTAGGCAACGAACGAAAACACATAGGAAGTGGATTTTGAATAATAGTTAGCTGCTAACAGTTCTCAAAATCGACTTTTTACTAACCTTGGCATTGACTTATAAATGTGTCGTTCTTTTTTCAGCAAACGCAAGGTTGTTATTCAGCACACGTTTGTTTCCTTACAGAAATAAAACATACAACACAACGGTAGCTGACGTTCTGACAGTATCGCCTTCTTCAGATCCTGGAAGGGTACACTAATACGCAGCGTAGTAGATCAAACACATCAACAGCACAAACAAAATGATGAAAATCTAAATAATTACACGATCTGCACCTTCTCCAAAAACCCACAGTTTTTTCACCTGCCTTCCACCCAGGTAGAACAGCCGCTTAGAGTCGCATATAGTTGATGACTGCACCGCTCCTCATCAAAAAGAAATTCTGAGATACGGGGCTAGATCAGGTCTTATCTCTAGGCATTCTTCCCTGTTAGTGAATATTTATTCTGAATAGCATGGAAGGATGCCCAGAGATGTCAATCACATGGTCTAGCTCCGTATTTCAGAATTTTTTTTTTATGAGGGCTGGTGCAGAGTTGCCAACCATATGCGACTCTAAGTGGCTGTTCTTCCTGGGTGGAAAGCAGGTGGAAAAACGGTGGGGTTTTCGAGAAGCCGGTGATCGTGTAATTGTCGTTCAGGTTTCCATCTTTCTGTTTGTGCTGTAGAAGTGTTTGACTTAGTAAATTACATATCAGTGTACCTTCCAGGGTTTGAAGAAGGCGATACTGCCGAAGCGTCACCTACATGTGTTATTTCTGTAAGGAAATAAACGATTGCTGAAAAAGAGAACGACACAATTAGCTGTTAATTCGTTTTAATCCCTTAATAAAACATGTCTATTCTATGGAATGTGTGGGCATAAAAGTAGCGAAATGGACTCAAAATAAGCTGCAAGACGTTTCCAAATGTCCATAGGAAAGTGTTTGGATGATTGATTATAGTAATACGTAGTACTTAGTAGGAGCATATTAGCATATAATTCAGCCCCATTGCGCGATGGAGGAAATTCTTTTCTACAGTTTTGTCATATTAACAATCCCTCAACCTCTCTCTTTGTTGAAAAATTATTATTTATTGTGAAAAAACCATCAAACCCCATAGGGGCTGAAAAATTTGGCGTCGTTCCGAGGTACAACCAGGCTGAACACCATTCGTCGTCAATGGGTTAAACCGCTTTCTTTTAATCTTTCTAGAAAATGTATTCTTTCCGTAGTTTAGGACACTATTACTATGACACAACGCCAGACACTGTAGCGTACGAAGGTTGGTTCACAGCAGCGGAGAAGATATACAGAATTGACGAAATATAAGACCTCGATATGCATTAACTTGAGCATTTGCACCCACTTTTTAAGTTGTTATATTGACGTATTGTTATCAGATATTATGAATTCCTTAGCAGGACTAGTTTGCACTTCATAGATGAGTTGAATTAATTTATGACAAGGATTGCTAAATAAATGCACGAGTGGTTTAAACACGTGAATGTTATGCAAATGTATGTAGGTCTACATGCTTTGATTATATTCCAGTATTTTTAGATGTGTTTATATTCGAGCATTTTATACGGTAATCGCTGATTATTAATGCGAAATGAAGAGAAAATCGTTGTGCAGGCAAATTTAACTTCTTTCGTGATAGAATGCTGATTGATAGCTAGCAAAGTAAACTGAAGGTGCTGAAAGGAATGAGTGATCTTTTACTATCCCTCTTTTGATTAGAAGTTATCGATTGGCACTAGTTGAAGAATTTCTAAATTTATACTTAGGTCTTTGAGAAAAGCTTTTTTGGGACTGAAGCAATACCGGCCGAAAGACAACGAATCTGTTGACTCCTCTCCATTGTCCAGGTGGTGTAACTTGTAATGAGACAAGCAGGTTGTACAAGATCGATCAACTTCGCCAACTTTGCAGCAGAAGTTACAGTAGAATACGAACGCACAGGAAAATGTCTATAGTTGATAAGTCTTTTGCGCTAATTAAGTGAAGGCGCTAGTTCGATCTTCTCTCCATTGCTCTACTCCAGTCTTTTTGATAATGCTTTAGCTCGATTACGTCCAAGATTGCAAGGGGAATCGACGTTGAACAGCATTTATAAGGAAGACTGAATCCTCAAGCAGCAGCAGTAAAAAGATGCGAAATGTTCGAGGAGTTTTGTGGACGATGAATGCGAGGAAAACGAATCGAATGCTAGAAGTGCTGAAATCTGATGTGATGACGGAGCGTGCAAAATAATTGTAGACTTATGCTAATTAGGAATGCAGTCATACTTTAATAATATATCCACGTATTGTGTTCGTGCAGTGCAGTGGTTCGAAGCGGCTTGCAATGCACGTATAACCGCAGTTCGATCCCGCTGCCCGAGTTAACCAAACCCTCCATTCTTACGGTTTCACCAAATTGGTTCCATACTTGCCTGGCAGAATAGAAAGCGTTGAATTGAGGCATCGATAGGCCATGCAAGTCATTGTGAATGCGAATATGCATTCAATCACCATACGATACTGCGAATGGAGTTGAATGCATTAAACATTCCTTGAGGGACTATGTAATGCCGAACGGCACAGCATCTGAGAAACTACGCATGTAGTCGAATGCATGGCGCATCTGTAAAGGACTGATAATCACTGAGCTCCTTTTTTATCCCTTATTCCATATAATGAGCCGTACTGTGATCAAGTTTGTTCCAGCCGTAGAGTGAAGGAAGTTCGACATTCAATGCCGTTTTATTCAGTGAGCATAAGGTTCACAGATGATCCACTTAATGAAAAACTTGACGAAAAACTTAATGAAAATCTTTACGATGATAACTGGTATATCAGTGTCTTTATGTTTTCTGCGGAGAGATTACCATCTGATTGGTTGATGCAGAAAGAGTAGAAAGGGATTTCCACGCAGCGGAAGGTGATCAGCAATCTTGCTGTATACAAATGTTTCCATCTCATTCAGAGAAACTTTGCTTGCAATCAATGGCTCTTTTCTTGCTAACCTCATTGTGTGAGCGGGCTTTTGATGTGTGATTTTGTTCAGCCTTACTCACATCGTAGCACGATTGGCAGAAAGTTGTTCGGAAGAGCCGTGTTTCTTTATTTGATATGTTCACGAACGATGAGATCACATATTTGAGACGAGGATAGCAATGGGAAAGGGAACTCATACAGTAAATCATTACGAAGCAATGTGTCTAACCCGAGAAGACGTCTTCCCATACAGCGCACAAAAATTGTTCGCCATGGGAGGGATATAATAGCAGGCAGAGTAGAGACAACGGTTGGTCAATGAGTGCTCCCAGTAGAATGGCAGGTAGTGGGAAACACAATAATCAAATGCATCATGAGCCATCAACCCCGAATAGATAATGTCAGAGTAAGCCAATAAATAACAGACAAGCACATAGAATCAGAATCCCATGTAATGTCAATCGCATGGGTAGGATATATCAAATTAGGAACAATATCAGCCGGTGAACAAGAGGAATCATACTTTCAATACCGATTTTCCTTTAACCTATGCATCGAAGATCTATCTGTTTATTGGTAGCTTTGCTAACATGATTAATGCGTAGAGTTGTTGGGATATATATAAATTTGCTGTAGCAATGTCATATGGTTTTTCGACTCTTCAATTTTTTGTTATTCAAGTCTGCAAGCTTGGATAAGTAAACCTTGGCATGGACAATCTTAATACGACTGCAGAAAAACGAGATCACCACCACAATTGTTAACACTGCAAACACTAAGGCAATCATTATGGAGAGATAACATGAACAGCAACATAACTGGTAGCATCGCAGCCAGGTAGGAATGACCTGACAATTGATGACGGTATTCAAATGAAGCTTTACAACGACCTTGTGTTAGCTGAACAATGCAGGGAAAAATTGCTTTTTCTAACGAGAGTAAATGGTGGTCGGTTTTGAAATGTACTGAATAGATAATGCAAGCGAATACAATATTGACCATTACAGAATAGATTGCCAGCATGATAACAGATCGAAATGGATGGCAAGATATCAGCTGCGGTCCTATATACAAGGACTCGGCCGAGTTAACAGTGCCCAGTCCATTGAGTTTAACTCGCTGCGACAACGAACACCTCCAAAATGAGGACAGACGAACGCGGTTAATCGACTGGAATCAATCTCGCTCTGATGAAAATGACTTCGAAACGTTAGCAGAACAAAACTTAACAACAGTCTCGTGTTACTCGTATGAAATGCTGAGATATTTGCAAAACTCCGGACCACAGGTGTATGCAATGGGGAACGAACACGCGCTGTTGTCCTTGCCGGGAGCAGCGCACATCACCACTACACCATCCGCGTCAGTCTCGTGTTAGCTTAATAGTGCAATAAAATATTGATTATTTACCCGCAACGAAATCAAGGCCGGCTTTTTAGATGCAAACCTCTTCGATCTGTACCTGCAATGAAAGTACACTTGCATTCGAGTCCTCAATAGAAGACTTGCTCATGCAAGCAAGAAGGATAACGTATGACGTCATCGCGCTGGCTGAGACGAGATGACGCCACCCATTCAACGCCGTCTATGACACCGGAGAAGAACTATTTCTCGGAACATGCGACAGTAGAGGAGTCGGCGGAGTCAGCGTTCTCGTCAACACGAGTTTGTCCACGAACATCAATTCATTCGAACAACTTACAACCTGAATCGGACGTTAACGATTAGAAAGCTGTGGATTAATACCAGCTTTGGCAATCTTCGTCGTTTGCGCGCCGACGTTGAGCTATGACAAAGAAGGAGTTGAAGAGTTTTACATGGACTTGGAGAAGCTGTACGGAGACCATACATTCTTCGAGGTCATCATTGGAGATTTTAACGCCAAGACTGGACCAAGAAGAACGTCTGAAGAACTCACATTGGAACCCATGGATTAGAATGGAACGAACAGAGTGAGGGGCTATCTGAGTTCATCATGATGACGAAGATCGTCCGTGGTAACTCGCAGTTCCAGGAACCCCACCCTCAACGCTGGACGTGGGAGTCTCCCATTGGAGAGTACCATAACGAAATAGACCACATCATAGTAAATAGAAGGATTTGCCTAACCGATGTCGCTGTTGTCCTAAAATTTTGCACGAGATCAGACTATCGTCTCTTTCGTGCAAGATTCTATTTCTTGCGGAAAGGACAAAAAGCCGCTAAATTGGAAACCTGAGGTCCCAGAACTACTATAAGCTGGGATTTATTCAGTTCAGTTGTCGACAACATTGACGCGAAATAAGATCGGCTCATTCAACATCTTCACAATAGCGCTATGAAAGCTCAGTTCCAAAGTCACCAAGAGACGTCTGTCTCCAGAAACACTCGAGCTGATACGCCAACGTGGAACCGCACAAGCTGCACAACCCCCGAACTAACGTCCGAACTAGCAAAACAATGCAGACGGACGGGGACCAAGAAGAAGACGATAAAAGAAAGAGCAGCAGGAAAGCTCGAATAAGCAGAGGCTAGGGAAAGCATTCGCAAAGCCCACTGAAGGTTTTCAAGTTATAACACCAAGATGATTGCACTCCGACGCCCAGACGGAACAGTTACAGCGTCCAGAAAGACAATAGAAAAGATCATTCACGAATACTACTCAGATCTCTTCGATAGCCCCGTCCGCCTTCCGTGATATGAAATATTTGACGATCTTTCTTAGATCTATTGCATTATAGGAAGTAGATGCTTTCAAATTTGGAATCATCGTTTAGTTCCTAATCTTCGAGGAGAACGTGACCAGAAATATTGAATACGGTGATGCAACTCTTTGTTGCGTTTCCTTTGAGCTCCTCAGACTTCAACGCAACAATAAGCGCGTCGTTTGTTTTTGGAATAAACTCAAAAGCCGAAAATTTACGTTCACGGTGGGTCAGATTTCCTATTCTGACGACTTCTACTTCAGTAAGATTTGGATTACCGATAATCAACAGATCAGTTCCTCTGAAAGTTGAAAGTTAGTAGTAAAATCTCATTAAGAAATTCTTCGAAGGCACTTGTAGCAATGAATACGTACTTTCGTTCGTCTACTGTTTCATTACAAGTTGAATTCGATTCCTTTATTGGAAGGGAAAAGCACTTTTGGTGAATTGATGACCATTGCGCCGCTTCATGAGTTAAATAAGCACCAACGCCGGTGAGGTTGACGGCTTTGCGAAGACTTTTATAGACATAATTCCAGTCACAAGATTTAACCTAAAGGTCAACGTGTTAACACCTAACGTAGGAGAGCTATCAAATTTTTTCTTTGAGAGACCTTCTCACACGAACGCGTTCTTTGGAAACTGAACAACGCGCTAAAAAGTAGTCTGATCGTTTTTATGATCTAACCTCTCGCTACTAGAAGTAACCTTTATCCACAGTGAGTCTTCACTGAGAACAGCTCCGGTTTCGTTTCTGTACTCCTATAATAGATAATATAATAGATTGAGATTAACCAGTTGCCATCTTGAACAGTCAAGTTTGTCAAAAATCTTATGAGGAGTATCTAGTCAATTTTTTCAACAAATTGTATAATGGAGGAAACAACAACTTCACTATTCTAAAACTACGAACCGTGCCGTGACCTCCAACAATGAGATGGCATCGATATAGCGTTGCCCGTTCAGCTTTTATGCCTTTTGTGGCATGACCGCGTCCAGAATTAGGGACCAACCACTGTATCGCCTGAAACGAATACCAATGATCAGGGCACTCTCATCGGGTTTTGAAACCTTATTGGAAGCCACAGGTTGTAAGAGTAATGCTTTACAAGGCGCTCTTCTTGACAACCTTCTACCAAATGGATTAAATACAGTAGCAGTCACCTTATTGTCTTTGATTTCGTAACGCAATCGTGTCTCGTCATCGGGTGCAAGAAGTCGACCACTAAATTTCGACAAATCGGATGGTTCCATTGCGCGTCCTTTGTAATTGAGGGATCTAGAGAAGAGCTTTTAGTATTGGCAATGTTATGAAGTGAAGAAACAGCCACAAAAGTGTATTTGAAACTCCATTCGAAGCCGTTAAGGTGAAAAAACATGGGTTCGGGTTCAATAATTGCGTGATAGATTCTTCTCACAGGATAGTCCACAGCAAAGTTCTGTAACGTTTTCTTGATCTACCTCCCAAACTAAAAGAGCAATTCGTCAAGCGAATAGAAGGTCACTCACGTGGTCAGATTCCTATCCGGACCGTTGATCCAGGTCACGGTGACGTTTGCCTGGCTTTTGTCAATTGTCATATTTCCCCTCCTTGTGACTGCCCGCCAAGTCCAGTTCTTCACGGTTTTCGAATTCTCGTCTATATCGGAGATGGTAAGAAGTTTGTATACCTCAGTACCGTCTCCTTGTTCCAGTTGATCAAGGGTTTTCGATGTAACCTGTGAGAAGTTTGTGTTTAAAATTTTACATGTTTCAACGCAGTCTACGCTAAATTGCACAGGATGAAGAATTGCCCAAGTTCCGCAAGTACATCTGATTATAGGAAAAGCTCGTTTCTAACAAAGACGCTTTGAACATTACTGCACAATGACCACGTGCCTCTTCATGGCACGGTTCCTTTGGGTTCCAGCAAACGGCGTCACCAAATAAGTATTCGTACTCTGATTGGGGATCATTCTTATCATCAACATGTGAATCACGGTGAAATCCTAGAAGTGACAAAAACCACCTCAACAAACAAGCGTAGACAGTACTCGAAACCTATAATTATTGGATAATTTGACGAAGGTAAACGATGAGAAGCGTTTTTCATGTAGGGAACATTCACTACGGTACTATTGTTTGAGAATCGCTATCCTGCTGAGGGAAGTAGGGAAAAATTTCCTTCTTGTGACACTTGATTTCTTGTTTCAAGTGACGAACTTTTAAGTAGCATAGCTAGATCTAATTCATGTAAATTTAATTTCTTCATTCATTCATTTCACTATCACAAGACAATAACAGCTATCCACCATCAGCAACTTGAATAAAAGGGCATCACCGAATGAGTATGCCTTATTCGAGGAGATGGGCCGCTGAGGACCTGACTCGACACGAAGGCAAAACTGCCACGTCGAGACGAATAATAAGCGTGGACCATCGACTCAGATTATCGGCTCTGAGGAAGACGAAGACGTCGAAACCTTAGCCGAAAATAAATATCATTATCAGCCTCGTGTAAGCTCATCAAAGAAAGAAGACATATTGATTTGTCACACCGAGGTTGAAAGAAAGTCGGTTTCGAAATATTACTAATTCATTTAGTTAATATTTTTTTAGTAACGTTATGCTGACGGCGTCAACTAGTAAAGCAATGATGAGAGGAGATAACTAACCACTAGAAGGCGAGGCCGATTGGTAAAGCAGTGAGAGTAGGAGAAAACTAACCGTTAGCAACAGTGAAAGCATTCGCATTTTGACATCTGTGACGGTGAAGGCGACTTCACAGCAACACTCCAGATTTTATCCCATTTTATTATTGGTCGGGCTGGTACAGTGTAACGAAACAAAAATGGAAAAAAAATTAATAATGTCAAATTTTAAAGCACAATCGTCACTGAAGAATAATTCGAATATCCATGTACTATAATTGATGTTTTTTCACCAACAGGCATAATTTGAACTCTGCTTCCCACGGTGTATGAGTTGTCGGTTAATTCTTCATTCTGAATACGTCACAACTTACCTTAAAAGTTTATCCATTTCGGAGAGGAAATTTCTTTCAACTGTGTTCTGCGGGTCTATGATGTGTATTTTGAGGCATATAAGAAAAAAGGAAGCTACTAACCATATATGGACAACTTTCTTCTGTCCTGGTTTTTCCTCCCAAAAACGACCACCGTCGGTCTAATATTGAGATATAATCTAAACACCAACAGAGAACCATGGGTTCAACCTGGACAGGCAAATCCGTCCACATCCTTAGATTTCTTGAATGATTACGTTCCGTTAGGATTTATCTTCATTTAATTGACTTCTTTCACCTTCTAAGATTCTTAGTAACGTGATGTTTCCGCCCATACTCGTAGTTTGCGTTATTGCGGTTTGTTTTCCGAAATACTCATCAGAAAATTAATGAATGGAAAAAAGTAGTTTTCATGGAATACTGATGGTTGTACTTATTTAACAATTTGCTTAATCCTCGTATTTATTTAGCAGCATTGTATTCCTTCTTTAGCTTTCTTTCCTAAATCTTCATTCGGTGCAATGAATGAAAGGGTTCCCTTCTTAATGATCCAGGTCAATTCCACAGAGTTTCTACACCTTTACGAAAAAAGTTGTAAAATTGGCGAGGATTGAAATTGAGATACGAAATAGCAACGATTATTCCTCGGAAACAGAGGGCTTTGCTGCTTGCCGAATTCCGAACTACGAGCTACATAAGCAAAAGCAGAACGGAATTGAAGAGATTGCAAAAAGCTCCGTATGTTTCCTTAAAACCAAAATTCGACGTATTAAAAAGCATCAAATTGTCTGGTTTTATCAATTACGAGGTTTTCTTACGACTTTCGCAGCGAACTTGTTCTTGTACTAAATGTTTCCAAGTACATTCGTCCTATAAGCTCAAAATTCTCAGAAGTGACTGCAACCACTATGAAGTGAATACTCCATCCAAATAATTCGCTATTATCCTTCGAGCAAGCATGATTTGTTAGTTCATTCTTTACTGACGATAATGCTGACTTATCGGTGAATTTAGCCATTCTCATAACCTAGAGAGACACATGTAACTCATGGCCGAGAGAGGCACATTTATTGCAGTCTACTTCCCCAAGCACCTCCATAACCAAACAGAGAAGATGCTCTACCAAAATTTCAACCGCATTGGAAACAAAATAGCTTCTTCGCCCATTAACGGCCTTCAAAGAGTCTCTCACTGAGTGTTTCACGTGGAGATCAACGGCACAGAGTTCACATGGGAGCATAATGGACTTCTTCCACATTAAAAGATCAGTCATAAATAGTAGTTGAAATCACGCGTGATTACGAGGCATTCTTCGCTGCTTTTCATATCCTGATTCTTAAAATTTATCTAGAATGCTTCAAGATTATTGAACGCTGAAATTTTTGTTTCCTGTGTGAGGGCACTAACTTCTACTTGAAAATCATCCTCGTTGGGCCTCTGTGTCTTATGCGTGCCTAGTGGAGTATTTGGTTCGGCAGAAAGCAGAAAGGCGAAGATGCGAATTGAGAAAAATTGGTGAGTAACCGCAAAATTTCGTTTTGGCTTGTGTTTGCCTAACGCATTTGAATATTCTGAATATTCAATGTTTTTCATCAATAAGCAGACACCTCGTGTCTGCTTATTGATGAAAAACATTGAATTATCAATTAATGCCGAGGTTAACAGAAAGTCGGTCATGGGTATTCTGAATATGTTCAATGATGTCCGTTTTCCACTGTTGAACATTATTGAGCTTATTTCTACGCACTGAAACTTTGACACAGTGGAGCGCCGCACTCCGCACAATCTTCCTAGTGCGACGTAATGAGGCCGGTTGAGATTCACGCTTAAAACAACTCTGCGATCATCCAGCATATCCAAGTTTTGCTTATGTCGCTGGACAGCGACAAGACACCACGGTTTTTCATCATCATTTCATTGAGCGAAAGTGAATAATTCATCTGAAAAAAAAATTTAAAAAAAATGAAAAAATTAAACCAACGCTACATCGTTTAATTATCGACGCATCTGTTTATGTTGGTATGATTTGGGCGATATGTGGTAACGTTGCATGAACTGTCAATCATCACGGCATCCTGAATAGGGAATTACAGAAAATCTATCTATCAGCTACAAACCTCCCAAAGGTTTACCGCCTGATCGTGGCTGGGGGCTGTTCTTGGATGTCTGACTGCCGTGTAGAGCGGAAGGATTCATCTCCTGGTAGAGTCTGCAATTCTGTGAAGTCCGGTGTTTGTTACCATGAGAATCCTATCTAAGAGTAATCGAATAGCAGGTCCCACGATTGTCTTGGTATCAAAGTTGCATGGCGGCCAATCTCCTTCTGATCCACAAGGGCTACGACTACCTGTAGTGAAGACCTGGGGCTGATTTTAGCCAGGCCGGTCTCTGGATTCCAGAGAACCACAATGACCTAACCTGCAAATCTTCAAAAAATGGAAACTATGCTAGGACCCGCATAACCAGTGAAAATGGGCCTTTGAAGTATCAAGTATCAAGCAAGTATCAGCTACAAACTGAGAAACGTAGGAATTTCTCTGTTCGTTGGATTTGGTTTCCTGTATACATAAGGATTTGCTGCATGCGAAAATGTTGTGGAAAACGTGCGAATAATTTCCACCGGCCCACCTATACTTTTCTAGCGACTACCGTATTGGACTTGGGATTTTCGGTGCTCATAGAGTGAGCAAAGCTAATGACGTACAGGAAAGCAGAGGTACATGCTTGAAAAGATAATCTGGAGTAGGAATGTCGTGCTGGTGAGGGTGGTTAGGTGCAACCACTAGGTTGCTCGGAAATTTTGCTCGATTTGTAGTACCATTTTTCTTGCATACGTTTTAGCAATAGTTTTTTTTTCAAACGTTGTACTGTTACATATTTCTAATAAATTAAATAATCACATCATATCACATGTAAGTCAATGCATAGGTATGTAGGGTTAGACGTAAATACGCGCTAAAGTAAATACATAAACCTAAATAGAAAAGACTGGTAAACATGCGTTCAAATAAATACATAAGTGCATGTGGAAATAATCACTTGAATATATGTAGAGTTCAAGATAAATGCGCATCTAAATCAATGCATAAGAAAGAGCACTGCACGCTTTTCACTGGACTAACATTCAAATAACGATCAATTAACGAGGAAAGAAAACCACATAAATTTGGAAAATTCGTCTGCGAACAGCACAGAATGAAGTGGACTCTAAGAGCGATTTCTGGCATAAAACTGTGCGAGAACGGCCTACCCCTTCATAGCCGTCTGAACGGCACTCAACAACTCACTATCAAGTTCATGAAATTCGTAATGACTGTGGAAGCTAGGTAAGAAGGAAAAAAGACTTCTGGAAAGTATTCACTTCAACGAACCGCAATATGTTGATGAATGACCAGATCAGAACGAAATAAGAAGTGTATTGAAGAGGAATGAGACTGGAGAAAGTTCTGTGCTATCAAACACAACAACTTTCTACTAATCTCGGCATTGATTGATAATTCACTGTTTTTCTTTAATAAGAAAACACGATGTTGGTATTATAGAACTTATTAGCATCCAATATCTGACGCTCCGGAGAGTTCATCTTATTCAAAGCCTGGGAAGGTGAAATTGATATGCTTTCTACTCAGCAAAACGCTTTCATAACCTTAGCAGATAGGACTTAACAAATAGATTTGTATTCGCATAATGTACAGCTTCCTTTAAGCACCCATCGTTTTGTTCTTTGCAAGTACAGAAAAGATTTTTCTACGCAAACAGTTCATTGAAGTGCAGGGATAACAACAACGAGGAATATCCAATAGGCTTAAAGTAACCACTTGTACACGTATACACATGTCTGTATAAATATGGAAGATAGAACCAGATTCGACAAATCAAAGAGAGCGAGCACATCTGTAGTCTGAACCTACCCGCATATCAAGGCAAGCGCCAACGCGATCATCATGAGCCCCCAGATCTTCTCAACTTTACTTCATTTCAATGACAACAATGAAGGAAGGGCTTCGTTTGATGCCATGATAGGTTACGTTTAGCTCGAAAACGCAACATAAAGTGGAAATCCCCAACTTGAAAGGCCCTTCAAGTTTTGCATTTCACTTTTCAAGTAAAGATATAATCAAAATCCAAATCTCATATCGTCATTCGCAATAAGTCTTATGAATAAGAAAAAGAATTCTGTGGAAAGGAATGAACATGTAATTTATAATTCCCTCGTTATAGCTTTCGGTCTTCTTGGCCCAAAGGTTAATTGATTAATGTTGATGGCAGGATAAAAGCGTCGGTAGAAACAAATGGATGATCGCAGAGTTGTTTTAAGCGTGAATCTCAACCGGCCTCATTACGTCGCACTAGGAAGATTGTGCGGAGTGCGGCGCTCCACTGTGTCAAAGTTTCAGTGCGTAGAAATAAGCTCAATAATGTTCAACAGTGGAAAACGGACATCATTGAACATATTCAGAATATTCAAATGCGTTAGGCAAACACAAGCCAAAACGAAATTTTGCGGTTACTCACCAATTTTTCTCAATTC